CTTAATAAAATAGAGAAGCATCAAGGTTTAAATTTCAATAAAAGATGTCTACTAATGGTCTGAAAAATACTCCAACTTTGGTCGAATTTGCTGTTGCGATACTAAACTTTCATGAGGACCTCAAATATATATGTTTAAAATACGGTATTGAATAGGTCCTCATGAAAGTTTAGTATCGCAACAGCAAATCCGACCAAAGTTAGAGTATTTTTCAGACCCTTATCCCTCTACTAATCATCAATTAGTGTTATAATTAAACGATATGTATTTCATTCAATTACAAAGGGATGCAATTTTATAGACATCTTGGAAATATGGTCCTGAATTAATTGCTTGTTCATCAACTGATTGTTCTATTTAAAAGAACAATTATACTGTATTCCAGAAATATAATTAACTGATGTAAAATTTACTTTCAAAAGTTTATCTTTTCAGATGCAACAGAATTGTTCATAATAATTGACGGGAATTGAGGTAAAGATTAAAGAACACATGCAACTAAAACCAACATAGTTGATAAAAATGAATCTTACAACTTACATTCCTCCAATTTTTCATTAGCACATATCATAAAATTTTTAAGTCATGCATGGTTTGAAGCTAAAAAATAAACTACTACAAAGAGGAATCCGTAAAGTAGTACATTGAAAAAAGAATTAATAAAAGGAAGTGTGAATTGACCAACAAAGTCCAATTTATGCTCCACTAATCCTACAGCTCTGTGTACGTTTTGATTTGTAAGCTTATGGTAATATCCTATTAAGGCGTAAATAGTCGATCCAAAACGCTCATGAAGTTGGAATTTTCTATTGCATAGTTGGTTTCTAATTCTAAATTATTTGTGCTTTCGTTTAAAGATATTTTCCAATTCAACCTTTGCATTAATTCATTGAGTAGACATATTATTAGGATATGAGAAAATATAACCTTTCAATTGCCAAGAAGTTGTCAGATTTCTTGTCGGTTTTTCCTCCTTTTCAGCATATATTTTTGTTGCATGTGTTTTTTACTTTCTATGCTATTTTTCTAACGATTTGAAGCTTCTTCATGGTGAACTCGATATTCAATTTGGCTACTGCAAATAGAAAGGAAAAACTTCAAATCGTTAGAAAAATAGCATAGAAAGTAAAAAAAATTGGAAATTACCCAATTAATCCTTCGTATCTAAGTTTAAATACACTTCACCTTCTAATACAAACATCCAAAAAATATTTTGACAAATTGCAAAATTATAAGACCACAAAAATTCAATCGAAATGCAAGAACAAAGAGAATTAAAGTAATAATGTTATTATTGCACGTAACAAAAATGATACACGTGTTCATTTACCAATAAAAGAACGCCAAATTTATCATATAACTTTCTCAACGTTTGGTACAAAAAAATTTACAATTATAAGATATGCACTGTTCCTACACGTGTACTAAAAAGGTAAAAATAATGGTTTCACTTTGAATTATAGAATACATGTATCTGTAATAGAAGAGCAAGGAAACCAGTAATCCAATAGCATATGCCCACGTTGACAATATACCTTACACTATTTGTTACTTTAAAAGTACAACTTATGTTGCTTTCTGTACAACTATTTGTAGCTGCGTTCGTCCTCATCCTTCTTGGCTTCTATAATAAGAGAGAGAATATATATAAAATAGAATATCTTAATAAAGGAAAACAATAATTTACCCAATACTTTATTCTTATCTTCAAGTGTCAGCCTCAACCATGTGTCTTTATAGATACTTGTACACGCACCAAGAGAAGTGATACAAACCGACATGCATAAATTATTGAATTGAAATAGTAGTAATATACTTTCACCTTTCACGTCTCTTAAATGAACATAAATTTATTTGTTTTAATTAATTAAATTGATCAATAAACATGAATTAACCATTTAATTTTTTTATATTGATCAAATTCATATTTTCAAAGCTAATAACGCTCAAAGAATAAAATATAAAAGATAATATTATTTATTATTAATTATGTAAAATAACAAATATTAAAAAAGGACATAAATAGAAACGGACTAATAGCATGCATCAGTCAACTTATTTAAAAATAGAAGAGATAAGAAACTAAAAGTAGAAGACAGCTGGTGTGAAATGATGATTTTGACTCTTCCCATTATGATTTATGGGCAATAACTTGGTCCGCCCGCCCTATACTCGCTTTGATGTGCTATTATAGGATCCTCACATTGATTACCCTCTCTTTTTCAAAGCTTGATTCAGAGCATCACTATAGAATTAATTAACTCTAAACTCTCACGTTGTATTTTTTTCAAATAAATTTTTTATATTTAAAAACTAAAATACTACAAAGTCATTAGTAGTTAATCATTCATAAACATTGAAAAAATAACAACTAAAAAGAAATACAAAAGTGCTAAGGCCGGATCTACTCCAGAAATAGTGGTGCAGGTCAACATGTTGTCTCTCAGCCAAACTAGGTATAAAAATTGATCTAATATTATTTATTGGCGCACACATGCTTTAAATTTAAATATGAATGATACACTTAATTAAACGTTGAGTTATTTATCTAAACCGGTGAATACAATTTTTTTTCTTTAGCGGTGTACCCAACTCCCAAGCTCTTGAAATTTAATGTACTGTCGAAATAGTAATTAAGATAAATAATGGATTAACATTATGTATAAGATCTTCATGAAGCACGCCAAGTGGTGTAGTAATATTTTCACGCGCTAAATTATTTAATTTGAGGTAAACATTAAATAATTTTGCCTAAGCAGCATACATGTGCAGAGGCAGAGCTACAATTTTTTTAACATATAAAAAAAACCAATGGTAAAATAAGTAAAATGTATTTTACACATACTACTTATTTAGTGAATTTTTAAACACATATACATAATTCGAGTCAAATACATCCATATCTAATTAGTTTAATCTTTAGATGGTGACATAATAATATGTTTGTCACTTTATGTGAAGGGTGAAAAAATCTATCTCAGCTTACCTTCCAATCAACTTCATTTTTTTTGTCCTGACCATACTTTTCAACTCTTAAAACCCATCTCTACCTCATTTCCCACATCATATTTATACACACATCTTCTTGGATAGCTTCTAGTCAAAACAGAAAATGGATGGGTACACAAAGATCAATGGATCCAACAATTTCGCAGATCTCCAACACCACAAAACCAATGAGAATCTTAGCCCAAATCACACTGTTTTTCATGATGTGATAGATATTGAATCCATATCCAAAAGCCAACAAAGCAAGAACCAAGAACCCCATGATGAGAATGAGAATGAGAATGAGAAAGAGAATCAAGATGCCATTGCCAATGAAGAAAATATGAAGGGCAGCAACAACAACAACATTCCTAGTGCTGTGAAATTGAGCAGGGCTTGCTCTGTTTCATCAGCAGCTTCAGCAAACAGGTTCAGACTAGAAAGACAAGGGAACAAGAATACAACTACATCATCATTTGAATCAGTGAAGAGAGCTTTCTCAATGAGAAGATCTTCATCAGTGTCTGAGAAGTATTGCAGGATTCATGATCAGGGATTCACCATTTCGTCTCCGATATTGGATGATGTTGCTGAAGCTCACGAGGATAGTAGGGAGAAGAAGAAGAAGAAGAAGAAAAATGGAAGTGGCAGAATCCTAAAAGCCTGTAAGCGCCTTTTTGGAATCTGAACATATGGAGTATTATTATATTGTTCATTACTCCATAGTCCCCACACCCACCACTTTGGCCTAGCTCATGAGTGGAGAGAATTCAAGTCCACAATTTCAGGACGGATGTGAACTAATATATATTTATAGTTTTATTTTCTTTTGCATATGCATATATAGTTTGAGTCGGACGGTGTGAGTTCAGTTCAATTTGCTCTCAATCTCCCTCTGAATTCACTGTCATAAGAAGAAAAGTTTGTATGTGCATGTACTCAAGGGAGACACTCCTACTTCTATCTTGAGAATGTTAAATCTTTGGCATTTTATCTTTCTCTTTTGTTATATCTTATGCTATAATAATAAGCATAAACAGTGAGGTCTTATAATCTTTAGAAGTTATAAGTGCAAGTTGAGTATTGAGTTAATTTGTTCAATTTGGTATTCAACAACAACAACAACATCCCAGTGTAATCCCATAAGTGGGATTAGAGAGAGTAGAGTGTACGGATACCTTAACCCCTACCTTTGGTTGTCATATAAGTTTAAATTTTTAGTGTTCTATTATTATTTTGATGCTTAATTCCTAATTATCAAACTGTCGAAGTCAAATTCACATGTTTGACTATGAAGAAGCTTATTGAGATCCAAATCTAGGCATAAACTAATGACTTTTCAATTCAAAGCCTTGCCAGTAGTTATAATAGTGACATAACAATTGTCTGGGAACGTGAGGTGAACTTCTGAGGGAACATGGGTCCAAAAAAAAAAAAAAAGCAAATAAAAGTCTAGATACTGAACAAAAAAAGGAAATGAGTTTAAAATAAGTGTAATATCAACAAGCATGTGGACATCAGACAATGAAGACAAAAATGGAAGTACCAAGGCTTCAATTGGTTTCACACAGGATCCATTATGAGGCCATAAACTATAAAGCACAAAACAATATAATAACACAATCCTTGTGTCACAACTATCAAAATCAGACACTGAGCAGGTAATGATCAAGTAGTGGAGAAGGATAACTCAACCCAAGACTCTTTTATAAGATCACCTTTTCTACTCTTCACTCTGATGGCGCGCACCCGCATTTGATCCTCCAAAAAATGCACTACTACTTTTGAAGGATCTGACATGCACCCAATGTCAGAGTCCAAATCAACATAGCATATCAATACTGTTTGATGAATAAAATGTTTCAAACCTGAATTACATGATCCCTTTGAAACATTGTTATCTAATCGAGTCTTAACCCTTTTGCCATCCTAGAGGTCTAATACAAATATACCAATTTTGACAAATCATTCTAAACAATAACTAAAGCAAAATAATACGACAATCGAAGTACAAGAAGCAACAAATACCATTACTATTTACAAAGGAACACAAAATGATCTCTCTCATAATCAAGATGGAATGGTAGGAAACTAGAATCAACACAACATAGAGGAAATTGTTTCATACGCACACTTACAATATGAGTAGAAGAAAACGATAACTGGTGTATTTTACTTACATATTTTCTTGTGATACCCACTCTTCTAATACCAAGCACTTAAGACCCTCCCAACTTCAAAAGAAATATAAGCATCAATGCAAGCATAACATATCTGTTTACGGCTAAGCCAACGCTGATCCCAAGCACTGGTTGTCACACTCTTGGGCTTCTCAATCTCTATTCCCGCAATTTTCTTCCCCAAATATTTGAGCCCCGAATTAAGAAGCTTCTTATTGTTCAGTTCCTCTGCCGCCCACTCCCGGAGATCAACAACGTTCGACACTTCAAGATCATAGTCCTCCCACAGCTTGTCCACGTCACTACGAATACCAACTCCAACGAATCTGTAGTCGTCGTTGTTCAGAAAGTTTCGGAGTCGGCGGGGGATGTGGTTGGAGTGGAGAACTTGGTAGATGATGCAGGACTCTCCGACACACAGCTGGATAGTGGCGACGGGGTTTCGGTCGACGACGGGACTGAAGTTTGGGCGCCACTCGATGTCAAGCCCTACAATCAAACGATGGAGACGGGATCCGTTTTCGGTTTCGATTTTTTTGATCCATGAGGAGACAGTAGAAGGATCAACAGTGACGCTGGTTTGGATTTCGGTGTCGTCCTCGTCCAGAATAACATTGTAGAGTCTGTAGTTACAATTGCAGGCCAATTCGTACTCGATTAACTGCACATCCATGGCGTTCAAAGGCAAGAACCGAATCTCTCTACTATTGGTATGAATTTTGAAGCAAGAAATAGAAGTAAATTTAGGGCAAGTGCCTTGTGAAGTTCGCAAAATTCCGAATATCAATCAAAGATGTTAGAGTGGAGGTGCCACTACCGACTATCTATTTTACATCAGAATGCTAAATGATTATAAAATTTGGCCAAAAAAATTTAAAAATTATAATATTTTTTTATTTTAAAATAAATCGATCTTTTTTTCATTTTTTAGTTAAAAAATATTAGAGTTAAAATGGTAAAAATGTAAAATAACATAGATAAAATATCATTGTGGCCAAAAAAAAAAAGAGTCCATTTTTTATTATATATGGAATGAAATATTGGCCGATTAAATGCTTTTATGTTTAGAAATTGAAAGTTTGGATAATGAGAATGTTGTTGGGGTAGATGTGTTGATATATTAAAAGAGATAAAATTTGTAATAAAAATTGAATTGGAGTGATCTTAGTGAAAGATAAAATGTAGGAACTGAAATCAGGATGATTTGGACTTGTGATGATGAGATGCACGATGTATAAGGGCGGGGGCTTGAAATGTTGACTATATGGTTACATGAGAGGTAGAAAAAGTATTAATAAATGTGATTAGGCATGACGTGACATAATTTCATGTTAACGAGGACATAATTTTAGATAAAAAACAATGGAAGACATGAATTAGGATAGAAAATTAGTTAGGTAGTTGAGAGTTTGTCTCGTTTTGTCTTTCATACTAGTAATCATAGTATTACTTGGTAAGTTTCTTGTTATTCTGATTCTGTTACTATATTCCGTGTTTCTAGCACTTTTAGAGTATCCTATTATTTTAGAATGGTGACTGTTCATCTTTTTTAGCATTTTGTCTTGATTTCTTTATTTTTGATCCTTTTTTTCCAAATCGCTTTGTAATGTTTTTACTTGAGCTACTGGTGCATGAAATAACCTTTCTACCTAGTGAAATTTACTACAAATTATTTTTCTTAAATTTCAGTTATAAAATTATATTTAGTATATTGTTGTCGTTGTTATTCAAAGATGTAAAAATGTCATCACGGCTTGATACTATTACCCAAAAATTATGTACATGTTAAGTTGACAAACAAATACACCATGCTAATCGGCATCCTAATTGGGTCCAAATAATCAACGTACCCTATTTTTCAACTTAACTTGTGCTGTAATATGACATGACTTTGGATAATACATGATAGAAGGTTAGTATTAGAACAGTGTTATGCTCTCTTTAGTATTCGCTTTAATATGAATTAATCATGATTAACTAATACATATACGTATTAAATTATGTAATTATAATAAAGTTATATAACTTGGCGTAAATCCAAATACAAATTTATCGTATTAAAGGATATGTACACATAGTAATTTGTACATGACCATTTTGTTTTCCGTTGTTTCAATTTCATCCAATAAATCCTCCGTGTAAGTAACGTAACATAAAACATCTTATCCTCTTTGATTGATATTCCAAAATAGGTGCCATACAATTCTCTTTAACATTATTATAAAATACCACAATGTCACTCAATGAATGTAGGGAAACTCAATTAAATTATCAACCTTGAGTATCCTGAATACAAGGAAACTTTTAAATCCATTTTTATCCCCTCAAAAATCGAATCAAAATGAAAGAATCCTTAGAATAATACGAAATACCATAAAAAATACACAAATTAATAGCCTATATACCAGAAAGTCCCTTCTTTTTTTCCTGCTATTTTCACTATTGTTAGAACCAGACAATCAAATCTGTGGCAATAAATAAATAAATTGAAAACCAATTTATACGTATTATTATTATTATAAACATTCAAATACCTGAATGTTCTTGTCTTTGTTATCTGAATTCTTGAAACATAATATTATAATTCTAATTCTTCCCTTTGTGTATATTAAATTTTTTGTTGTTGGGTTTTTGGCATTTGGTTTGATAATGCCAATAGAAGGTGTTTCCATGGTGGAGGAACCTGTTTTATGTAGTTCACCACTAGGGTCCAGCCCAACCTCCCCTAAGAGTAGGATTAAATTTCTGTGTAGCCAGGGAGGAAAAATTCTTCCTCAACCAGCTGATGGCCACCTCAAGTATGTCGGTGGCGAGACACGTGTTATCTCTGTTCCTCGGGACATTAAACTTTCAGGTAAAAATATGCTTTATGCATTGAGCAATGCTGTCCGGTTTATATGAATATGTTACATTGAATCATGAATTGATTTATGACTGTTATGCCACCACATTGCAGAACTGATGAAGAAGCTAACTCCTCAAATTGAAGGTGATATGGTTCTGAAATATCAACTAGTACACGAGGAGCTTGATGCCTTGATCTCGGTTAAAACAGATGAGGATCTACGCCACATGTTAGACGAATATGATCGTTCTGAGAGTGCAGGGATCCCCAGACTTCGTGCCTTTCTGTTCCCAGCAAAGCCCGTTGTGGTGGATCACCACACAACGCCACCAGAACCTCTAGAACAACGATACATCGATGCTATTAATGGTATAATACGTGCAAGAGATCAAGCAGGGATTAGGATACAACAACCTCTAAGCATAAGTCAGGCCTCTTTTGGGTTTTCCTCTGCTTGTTCTTCACCAAGATCTCCTGACAGTTGCACTACTGATGGTGTTATTCATGAGTCATTGCTACAAAGTATTTTTCAAAATAGAAGTCAATTGCACAAAGTTCAGAGTTCCCCTAGCTTTTACAATGTCAGTAACCAGCAGCAACATGGGTTACATCATAACTTGCACCAACAGCATCACTATTACAACCATAGACAACAATACTACAATGGTTACCAGTTAAACAAACCTCCTCATGGTCCTGGTGATCCAGTCAAAGGGCCAGACAGGTTGTTTTCTGTTAGGTCTGTTGGTCGAACTGAAGGGTTAAGGTATCAAATGGATCATAACCAACATTACTATCAATCACCCTCGAGGCACAGCCGTGGTGGTGGCTGTTGTATAAAATGTACGCATTTTGATGACTATGAAAGGAGAAATGGAAGTATATCGCCGAGCAGTTACTCTATGGAAATTGGAAATGGTTGTGCTTCTCCAGGAGGTTATTCTGTGGAAAGAAGAACCAGTAGTCTTTCTCCCAGTCCCATACCACTAAGCCCTCGCTTCTCCAATATGGCTGGTTTAGGGGATACTTAAAAACTCTTTTGGCAAGAGATCACAGCCCCACCCTATTTGGTACAAGTTATTGTACAGTAAATAATTATTTATTTATTTTTATCATATAAGAAGGGATGTACATTCGTCTTTTGCATTTTACCATGGACTTTGTATAATAAAAAATACTGAAATTCTGATGGGTTCCTCAGGAACATCATTTTGTACTTGCAAGGCAGGAGTTCTTCTGTTAGGATTTGTCCATTAATGATAGCATCAGGATCAGGTATGACATTGAAAAGATAAATAGAAATGTCTCAATATCAGTACTGAGAAATAAATTCAAATTCATTCACTCCAATAATAGCAAGTAATCCAAAAACACAAGGAGCTATAGGGAAGGATCCACAAGATCCCCCTACCCATAGAATTGTGGAACAGTAGGGTGAGAGAACCAGAAAGAGCAGTTTCTCTAACCTATGGGTTTGAACCGCTAACATTTTTCTAAAAATATTCATGGGTAGACACTGTTTCATTTTGCAATCAAGAGTAACCCCACCTACCTCAACATTTCTAACCTCTAGTTCCCTGTATGAATTATCTTTTTCGCGCACCCCATTCCACCAGAAATTGTCCCCCAAAATCGTAATTGTGCACAAAGTTAAATCCCTTATACACAACCTAAGCAAGAGTATAAAAGCTGAAAATTAAATATAGCCTCAAAATTGCTCTTCTATGTTCACTTGCTGTCGGTGAAATCAGCATCAATTACGTCATCTCCATCAGGTCCCTTCCCAGATGATGATTCTGAAGGTCCATCAGAACCGCCAGGTGCTGGACCAGCACCTGGTGCAGCACCAGGCTGGTTGTAGAGTGACTGACCAAGCTGCATTACTTCTTGGTTAAGGGCAGCCATAGCATCCTTCATGGTCTGAGTTGAGCCTCCTGAGATTGCTTCTTTTAGCTCTCCAAGTTTAGCCTCAACCTTCTCTTTTACTGGCCCTGGTACTTTGTCTCCAAGTTCCTTCAACTGCTTCTCTGTCTGGTAGACAACAGAATCGGCCTGGTTCTTTGTGTCTATGGCATCTCTCTTCTCCTTGTCTTCCTGGGCAAATCTTTCAGCTTCTTTAACCATTCTCTCGACCTGTTTCCATGCAACCAGAAATCCCATCACATATGAGCAGCAAGGGGAGCTAAAATGGAATGATACACAACATATTGCTCCATATACAACCAAAGGTATTAAAGCCAATATTAGAGGAAAAATTTTAAAAAGGCAAATTCCAGCAACTGATAAACACGAAACAACTCGTCGCACAACTACCTAGCTAGAATTGCTAAAGAAGACAGTCCCTAGTAGAATTGGAAGTCAAAATCATACCTCATCACCAGGCAATGTGCTGGCACCTGTAATGGTGATGTCTTGCTTCTTCCCAGTACCCTTGTCAATAGCAGTCACGGAAAGAATACCATTGGCATCAATGTCAAATTTCACTTCAATTTGAGGAACCCCTCTTGGGGCAGGAGGAATTCCATCAAGCCGGAAGCTGCCTAAAGATTTGTTGTCCCTAACAAATTCTCGCTCCCCTTGGAGGACATTAATTTCTACACTTGTCTGACCATCAGCAGCGGTAGAGAACACTTCTGATTTGGAGGTAGGCAATGTTGTATTTCTTGGAATGATCTTTGTCATCACACCACCAAGTGTTTCCAAACCAATGGACAATGGTGTGACATCTAAAAGGACAATATCGCTGACATCTCCAGCCAAAACTCCAGCCTAGAATAATGAAGAAATTGAGATGTGCACCAAAATACTAATCAAGACCAGAATACAAGAACCGGGAACAAACAAAGGTCTTACCTGCACTGCAGCACCAAGAGCAACAACTTCATCGGGATTAACTGTAACATTGGGGTCCTTTCCAGTCAATTTCTTAACAAGTTCCTGAACAGCTGGAATACGTGTAGAACCACCAACAAGGATGACCTCGTCAATATCGCTGAAGGAGAGCTTGGCATCTCTCAAGGAATTTTGAACAGGAGTTTTAAGCCTAATTGCAGAACAAGCACAAAAAAGCTGACATCAAACCCTCATATCTTGTAAAAGCCAGGCAACTTAATCATTAAAGTGTATAAGCTATAAAAGAAAGTGTGTTATATTTCTGTTACCTGTCAAGCAGATCTGAGCATAGTTCTTCAAATTTCCCACGTGTGATAGTGGTCTCAATGTGTTTAGGACCATCAGCAGTGGCTGTAATGAATGGCAAACTACACCAGAAAATAAAATTTCAAAATCAACAGACAACAAAACCCCAAAGGGCAAAGAAGTAAAATGAAGCTTGAAAACGTCATACATACCTGATGTTAGTCTGGGTCAGTGATGACAGTTCCATCTTAGCTTTCTCAGCAGTCTCAGTCAGACGTTGAAGAGCTTGTTTGTCCTTTAGAAGATCAATGCCTTCATCCCTCTTGAAACTTGCAGCAAGCCAATCAACAATCCTCTGCATGAGTGGAATACTTCAAAATTACTTCTTCTAGCAGGTACTAGTGATTTAGAGGTAAATTGCTCAATCAAGCGACAAATACATTCTTGTTAAGGGGACAGAAAATAAACCTTGTCAAAATCATCACCACCAAGATGGGTGTCACCAGAAGTTGACAACACCTCAAAGACACCGTCACCAACCTCAAGAACTGCAAGTAAAAAAATTGTTACAATTGCCACAAGCATGAGTTCACAGAGACATGGATAAAGTCAAAACATTAAGTCAAGATGTTAAAAGACATTCTATAGTGGTATCCCCTACACTACATACGAAAGATACAGCATCAAAACCCAGCACAGAGGACATATAATATAAAGAAACAACAGTTAAGAGTTACCAGCTATAAGCCCATTCCTAAGAACCTTTTCAACACACAGCTCAAGCTCAAAAAGTTATGGGATAACCAGCAGTAAAGCGCAGCTACTAGCTCAAACCTTTTATTTTAGTTTCTATAAAATACCCCTACAAACTTGTTTTTAACCTATCCCCTCTCGTATAAATTGTGCTGAACGCACAGCATGATTGTTGGAAACTCAAAGTATGAAAATCACCAAACTGGTCACAACAACATAGCCATGCACAGAAAGCAGGGAACGGTTTCAAGACACAACAGAGCTAACACCCAGGAGGGAACCATAGTGCAATTATTACCTGATACATCAAAAGTACCACCTCCAAGATCAAAAACCAAAATTGTTTCATTATTTTTCTTTTCAAAACCATAAGCCAAGGAGGCAGCAGTGGGTTCATTAATTATCCGAAGAACCTCTAATCCAGCAATGCGACCTGCATCCTTAGTTGCTGTCCTCTGAGAATCATTGAAGTATGCAGGAACCGTGACAACAGCCTTGGAAACCTTGTCATTCAAAAATTTGGATGCATCATCCACCAACTTCCTCAGGACCTAAACCAGAAAAGAGAATAAAATCATTAGTAAGTCAACAGAAGCATGGAAGCAAACTCATAAACAACGGCCAGCTCACTTGACTATGGAACTAAAAAATAAAAATCCAAGAAAAAAGTATCTGGTAGGATGCTCAAGTCTCTATATGCCCTCTTGTCTAATCAACTTTGCAATAGTGTCACATAACTAATGCTTTATTGGACAGCAACATCATATTGTTCACACTAACTTCAGCAAAAGGCATGTGAATTAATGAACTTCAAGATCTCAAATTGTGAAAACAGTTACACTTGCCGGTGTTTTTGACATGGAGTAAAAGACTGTCTAAAAAAATGCACACCTCCTTCTGGCATATGGAGGAATATTTTCCTGGACTTGAAGTCAAAATTACATTAAACTGTGGACTATGTTGTCTTATAGGAAAAATAATGTTCTTTTACAATCCCCAGAGTTCTACTCCATATCTCTTACTTCAATCAATACTTAGATATTACTAGGTAATCAATATTTAGATATTATTGCCAACCTTAAACACAAATTATGCTAGAACGCTATCCTTATACCTTTTCCTACACCCTGCAATATCATCCGTTATCAACTTCTCTACCTATTCCATACCAAAAGCACCCTAAATGTCCAGACTTGCTCAAGGACCACAATTTCCTAGTCAGGACGGTCAGAAACACCAACTGCAATCTCATTCTAAGCATCCAACTAATACTAGTCTCGACATGCAAGTGAAGACAAATCTTAAGCGTGTTTATGAAGCAGAATACAAGATTGCATATACCTGAGCTGAAATTTCTTCAGCAGCGAATGATTTGCCAATGGCAGGGCAATCAAGCTTGACATTTCCATTCTCATCTCTGATGACATTGTACGAAACCTGCTTCGACTCCTCATCCACCTCATTCATCTTCCTTCCAATGAATCTCTTCACTGAAAAGAAGGTATTCTCCGGGTTCACCACAGCCTGACGCTTCGCAATTTGACCAACAAGCCTATCCCCACTCTTGGTATAAGCGACCACTGAAGGAGTTGTCCTCTGTCCTTCAGCATTCGTCACTATGGTAGGCTTCCCTCCTTCCATAGCAGCCACAGCTGAATTAGTAGTCCCCAAGTCAATTCCCACTACCTTCTCCGCTACCACACGCATCGGTGCATAACCACCGTTATTCCCCCGGTTTGAACTGCTCTTCTTCTGCTTCAATCCAAAAGCTAGGGTTCTATTGTTCAATTTTTGCCCTAAAAACAGAGACTTTGAAGGTTTTCTAGTGGAAGAAGATGAATTAGCGAAATATGTAGCTCCAAGAGCGTGAATTTGAGCAGTTGAAGACGCCATAGTAAACCCCTACTAACCCTAGAAAGAAACAAAGAAGAATTGAGAATTTGGGGATTAGAGGAAAAGGCGAGTTAGGAGGAAGAGGAGTTGAATGAAGAGTAGAAGAAGAGAAGATAAGGAGGAGGGTGAGGGTTAGGTGAGTACACGTGGACGGTTCTAGAATCATCTTTTGGCTTTGCACGTTTGTGATTGAAACTAAAGCTTGTGATTGGCTCATTCATTTTGGGCCCGCTCTCAGGCCCATTGGATCATCTGTAACCTATATAGGCCGGCAATGACAACTTTTCTGTTAATTTACCAATGCCCATTTTAGTGCCCCAAACAGTAATTCTTTTTTAAACATATGGTGGAAAATTGTCAATATACATTAAAATAATAATAAGTATCTTTCTTTCATATTTGAAATTCGAAAATAAAATTTTAATTAATAATGTATTTAAAAATCAATTATACTTTCCATATATTAAGGACTGTATAACTACACTCTAACAGGATATTGATTCCTTGATTTTCTCTAAATCAGTTCCTTTTATTTTTCATTGTTTTACAAATTTGATTTCTTTTTAATTGTTTTGTCTGTTGTAGGAGAAGATCAGGAATGGTATATCTTGCCAGTTACAAAACTCTATATTTAAGGAAATAATAATGTTAATAAATTGGTTAGGAATTATTTTAATTCATTTATTATTTGCTAGGTATTGTTAGAAATCTAAAATCAACACAATATATGTAATTTTCCCTTATGTATATGCAACAGGACTTCAATGATTTATAAAATGCTTTTAATATTTTAAAGCATCCTGTTTTAATACCTATTTCGTACCTTATTGACAAAAAATATGTATTGCCAAAATGCATACAAAATTGAAAACTTCATACCAAGTACATACCAAAAATAACCATAAATGATGTATATAATATGTATGTAAATGAGCTTCAATAGTTGAATAAACAATATAAATACAACTCATTTTATGTGTACAATGAGTATAAATCTAGAATTTCAAGATACAACTAATATGAGTGCAAAATTGCAATCTTTATACCAAAATCATACCAACTTATTATTAATATTTTGTGTATATAAATTATGTATACAACACTAAGTATAAAATAGAAATAAAGGACACATCTCAAAAAGTCATACTACATTTAAACCAATAATAATAATAAGCAATAATCGCATGCTTCAGGTCAATTTCATACAAATATGTGGGGTGATTTTTCAATTATTATTAAACACATGGTGGAAAATTGTGCATTGGAATAATAATAAGTATCTTCCTTTCTATGATTGTTGAATTTTTTTAATTTTTAATTTGTAGTGTGTTATATAACTACTTTTTAATCATGTTCTTATTGACTATTTTACAAAATGTTACTTTATCAGTTCCGAAATAAATATCACTTTAGCAAAAAGAAATATCATAAAATAAGTGTCATATTAGAAATTCAAGATAAAAATTAAAATGTTTTTTTAAGTCTATATGTAAAGCTCAATATCAAGAAACATATAATATAAAAGTAATGTAGTAAACTATACCTTCTATTTATTTTTATTTTTTTCTCTAATAGACATGAAATGAGCTAAAGTGACACTTATTTTGATAATAATTTAGTCTCATCATTTGACAAGAACTAAATACCATTAGACATACATTGACAAGAACTTCCAAAATGTAACTTCAAAGGCAAGGAGAGAACTTACTTACGCCACTACTCTAATGTATTTTCACACAACAAATTGCTTTTGTTGAAGATACAACATACTAGGATTCTCCTAATCAGAGTATTTCATTTAAACTGCAAGGGGAACAAGAAGAAAAAATAAGGATACAACAGCTTCTTTTTTCTAGTTTTATCAGCAGCTTTCATTAGGCAATATAGAATCACCTTGTTAGAAAGTTCTACAGTCAATTCAGGACTTTCTATCTATTCCTGGACCCTTTCCTCACATCCAGTATTACGTGGTTCTCGAAAGAGCCATGCCATGCTTCAGTCTCTCCTTAAAACATCATGCCAAATGAGTTCCCGAATATAGTCAATGCCAAGCTGATAACCATGTCATGCTTCCAAAAATTTTATTACGGCCCCAATGAAACGGATGATTGTAGGAGCATACCTTTAAGAATATTGTTTTTGAGGTAGTGCTCTCCAACCAATATCTCGTCTATAAAAACCACCAGGCCAATTAATTTGTTCAACGGCTTGATAAGTTCTATCCCGAGCCTCTTCAAGATCCTTTCCTTTTGCTGTGACTCCAAGAACACGTCCCCCAGTAGCAATGAAATTTCCATCTGCATCAAAAGCAGTTCCAGCATGGAATACTTTGACCGAAGGTGCAACTTGCTCTGCTTCCTCAAGCTTATGGATAATTGTTCCTTTCTGGTAGTTGCCAGGATAGCCATTACTTGCCATTACAACCACCATGGCTGATCCAGGGGACCAGTCCAAAGACATCCCATGTAGCTTCCCACGGCAAGCTGCCAGCAAAATTTCAACCAAATCAGACTCTAACCGGACCATCAATACCTGCAAAGGACAAGAAAAAGACTTCAAAACTATTTTATGGGATAGAGTAATTACACTGAGCACAATGAAATCCCACTCCTGTATCCATTACATGTTTCATCAGGTACCACGTAAAACCTACGGGAAAAATAAGTAACCAGAAAAATTTGCCAAACTATAACTGAATAGAATAGACATAAGACAGCATCAAACTTCTACTCTTTCTGTGACGAATATTGCCCTTCCTACAATTCTGCCTTTCCGAATACACAACGCAAAGGACAAGCATATAGGATGAACTAACTTAATTACTGTTGCTTTAACAAAGCAAATATGCAAAACTAACTAAACACAAAGCCATCCGTAAATTCTGAATCACCTATCTCACTATACAGTAATTGATTTCCCCCGTTGTATACATAAAAAAAATGTTACCCACTCTTTGGGATAGTAATTGCCTTAGAAGGCTCAACCAAATGTTCACTTAAATCCCAATTCAACTACTCAAATTGCACCACAGATGCAACTAAATAGGACCAATGAGGGTCCATAGTGAGCTAATTCTATAATTTAATACTGCCTTTGAAAAACTTTATAGTTTAAGGGACTATAATAGCCTCCACACTCCGATAAAATGTGATGAAGGCATGAAGCTACACTCTAGGAGAGATGTTCTAATGTGACAACAGTAACTTGTCATCCAAGATAGAATTCCAAAACCAAAAGATTATGAGTCTGTATAACAGATCAGATATTTCTAAGTTCATAACTGAAATGAGAGCACCCGTTTATTTAGCAATAACACCTCCAATTATCCACCTTCTGGAACAAAAATGATCTTGAACCAATTTAACAATATTCTTCACTTGTAGGACATGACGGTAATAAATCTCTTTCACAAAAAAAGAAAAGAAAAAAAGAGTACATGTTACTTTGGAAAGCACCTAGCATTCTATTGCTTCTGAAAGACTAAAACCTCGTGCACATAGCAAATGCCAAATCATGTAATGGATAAAAAGCAGTATGTTTCACATAACAAATTTATCATATACCAAAGTGAAGAACCAAAGAGTCTGATGCTTTCCTAAGCGTAATTTGAAACTAGGATCAATGGTACTAACACAAATTGCAATATGAAAATAAAAAGTTTGATTGCACCTGGCAAGTCAAATCCAACTAACCTGACACTCTGGATCTCCAAAGCGTACATTGTACTCAATTAACTTTGGCAAACCAGATTTCTTCTCGATCATGAGCCCAGCATACAGAACCCCAACAAACTTGCAGCCTTCTTCGGCCATTCCCTTCACTGTAGGGAAAATTATAGACTCCATGACCATTGATTGCAGTTCCTTTGTCAAGACAGGAGCTGGAGAATATGCCCCCATCCCACCAGTATTTGGTCCTGTATCGCCATCCCCAACTCGTTTGTGGTCTTGAGCAGATTCCAGAGGTATGGCATGCTCACCATCTACTAGAGCAAAAAATGATGCTTCCTCTCCTTCCAAATATTCCTCTACAACGACTCGAGAGCCAGCAGAACCAAAAACATTGTCTACAAGCATAGAATCAACAGCCTCATATGCTTGCTCCAATGTCATGGCAACAATCACTCCTTTACCAGCAGCCAATCCATCCGCTTTAACAACAATTGGGGCACCTTCCTGTTTGATGTACTCTTTTGCAGCGGATGGGTCTGTAAATGCTTGATACTGCAGATATTCCACCGCAGATAAAGTCAAGAGATGAAGTGAACCAAAAAATTTAAAAGCCAAGCATCACAGTACGTTTTATTATAAGTAAAACAAGTAAATATAGATGAAACTAGACAGTACGCACAGACCTTTGCAGTTGGAATTCCATATTTATCACATAAGCTCTTCATGAAGTTCTTAGAACCTTCTAAAGCAGCTGCTTCTGACGAGGGGCCAAAGGTAGGAATTCCTTCCTTGACAAGGTCATTAGCAAGGCCTGCAACAAGCGGAGCCTCTGGTCCAACCACAACTAGCCCAACTCCCCATTTACGACAGAAAGCAATCACAGCTGAACTATCTAAAACATCAAGGTCTGATATGCAAGTTGCATCACCTGAGCTGGAAATTCCAGCATTACCCGGTGCACAGAAAATAGCGTCACAAGAAGGGGATCGCCTCAAAGCATGACAGAGTGCATGCTCTCTCCCTCCTCCTCCAATTACCAAGACAACCACCCTTTCCTCTATAATAACAATTAGAAAGGAATCAATAAATAATGCGAAGGAACTTGTGAATTGTATAATATATATCACAGAGCAACAGCTACTGTATCTGTATGTGCCAGATAATTATTAAAAACACCAAAAGACAAAACTTTATATTGAAAAGGACAAAAAGAAAGGGTCTGCCGGCATTACACGGCAATTCCAAGCTATTGAATAACAAACTCAAAATTCATTCTCTACTCTAAAGGGAAGTGAAAATCAAAATCCAAGAAAAGAAGCAGGTATTAACATATCCCTTCAGTGAGAGGAAATATAATCACTTTCGAATAGGCAGAATATTTGGGATTCCAAAATTCCCAAGACATTTT